AAAAAAACTATAACTAACTTTTTCTACATTGACTCAAAAATATCATCTCAGGTGGTGATAAAAATTTTTCAATAGAATTTAGTTTAAACCATAGAAAAATATGAATAAATAGAAGACAAATACCAACAAGAAGACCAATATCATATAGTCTACCTTGACCAGTAATACTATTTTCTTTAACAAATAATTTAAATCGAGATAAACTCATTGTATTGACTGATGAATTTTCTTCGGTTTGTTTTTCAGATGTATTATTATCTATTGATTGTTTTGAATGTCTTTGAGATCGTGACATTAATTTCTGATTAGATTGTTGATCAATTTCTTTTATTTGATGACTTGCAAGTCTTCGAACTGAAATAGAAAACATTATCTTCATATAATATAGAATAGTTTAGTTTACCTTGCTCATTAAATCCTTGGTCTAGCGATGAGTTCACATTCTTTTCAACAAATGCTAGAAAAAAAAAATACAATAATGAAAACAAAAAAAAAGATCTTCAATTTTCTTTTACTTCTAACAAAACCATTGACACTTTTAATGTATTTTATTTCAGCAGTAATTCGTAATGAACTGTGTTCGCTATCATTTTTTACCGCACAGAATCGTGTTGCGACATAAAATGCATCTGTATATTTCATTCCTTCATTGTATACTTCTGTATTTACAATGTACATTAAATGTGGTTTTTCTACTTCTAATATCTATAAAAATATATGGAAAGAAAAAAAATTTTTTAAAAGTAAAATAAAAAAAAAATATTTATGAATACTTGTTTTTCTCGACAGGAAAGCGTATTGGTACCGATAATGGATTGATGAAGTGTTTTATATGTTACTTGACGTTCTCGTTTACCAGTTTCCGTATTTAAATTCCATTCACCGAATGTATAATCTAAGAAAAATATCATCGAATATTATTATATATATATATATATATATTAGAAGCAAAATTTACCGAGTAAATTTTGTGATTTATGAAAAGCACGTGTAAATGAATTATCACCAAATAATAATCCATAAAGTGTATCAACATTAAAACTAAATAATCGATCTGCATATGTTTTCGTCAGATGATTTTCACATGTACACGTACGTATATCAGATATAGTTTCATTACCTAAATAGAATTAAAATAAAATTCTTTTTTTTATCTCTTTTTCTTTTTACGAATTCAGGTAAAGATCTTACTTAAATTGAATGAAATAGTACGTCGACTTGGTTCTACAAGTGCTGTTGGTTGCTGTATTGATCGTGTTAATGATTCTACTGAACTTATCGTTTTAGCACGTGGCTGAAAAAAAAATTAACAGAAAAAATAGTTTTACATTTGAGAATGTTAAATGCATTCAGAAAGTAAATTCGATTATTCTAGTCATATAGATGAGTAATCAAATTCTATTAGAAAAATATTTACTATTTCTGCTTTCTGATGAGTGAAATCTATAGAGATCTAATTTTCTAAAGTCTAAAATCAAGCGAAATCCTGAAAGTACAATTGACATATCAAAAGTAGTAGCAAAAGTATTTTAATTTCTTATAAAAAAAGTTTAAAGAAATTTTTTCACTTTATAGTCTGATAATACAAACAATATTTTATATTTCTCTAATATTTGATCATTCTTCAACTAATATCATAATTATAAAAACATCAATACAGAACTATTTGCTATGACATATTCGATCTCATTTTTGTCTTCGATATGCATTCATATACAATTGCATTTATTGAACCATTTTTTTTTGTCATACTCTTCTTTATTAAAAGAATTCATGAACTTGTTTACAGCACAATGCAATTATTTAGAATCATTTTGATTGCTTGAATTTTATTTGATACCAAAAATCAGAAAGAGTGTCAGATTCGAAGAATTACTTTAAATAAAAAATTGATAAACTTGTTTTTGTATTTCTTTTTTTATCGAATCATCAAAACGATTGTGTATTAGAGAAAACGAAAAACAACAACGAAGAGGAAAAAAAAAACGTCAAGAATAAACTACATATCGAAGTGAAATATGTGATCGAATATATTACCTTTACAAGTGATAATAAATAGCTATTATCAAAACTTTATTATGATAATATTAATTGAAGAATGATGAAATATGAGAGAAAAACAGAGTATTATTTTTACACTATCAGATTATATAGAAAGAAAATTTCTTTAAACTTTTTATAAAGAATTAAAATATTTTCGCAGTAGTTTTTCAAAATAGCAACAACTCAATCTTGACAAAAATTACGATATAGTATAGAAATAATTAATCAATCCATTACCTAAGCCTTGAAAATGAATAATATATATTTAAAAACCTCAGCGAAAATATGTCTTAACAATATTTTAATTCTGTTTGTTTTTTAATGAATTATTTACTAAAGTAAATTTTACCTTAGGAACATTTTCATCATTATGTTCTAAATGAATACATTCTTCACTGTCACCACTTGCTTCATCATGAAGATGTTGATCAGCAAAAACAAATGCTCGTAATTGTTGATAATCTAATGGCTGTAAACAAAAACAAAAGCAACATAGTCATATTTTTTTCTTTTTTGTAATAATAATAATAATAATAATATATTACTTGACCGAGTAAAGCATTTTGCCATACACGAAATATAGCAATAAAAATTTTTTCTCTTGGTATATAACTAGCAAATAGATATTCATCTTGATTTATTGTTCGTAATTTAATTGCGTTTGGAAGAAGTATATTAGATTTTTCTCTAGTTACACCGACTATATGTTTATACGGAATACGTAACTAAATAAATCCAATTTTCTATTACAATAACAAAAAAAAAAATAAAGAAAAAAATTAATAACTTACACTTTCTTCCCATTTGAAAAAACGTGCATAAAACAATAAATAATTCGTTGAAAGAAAAATGCGACCATGCATAAACACATCTTTTTTCCAAGCACATGGATAAGCTATAAAATCATCATAAATAATTAAAATAATGAAATATATATCACATACCGATAATTAACTGTTCATCTGGTGGTAAATCATTGAATACAGCATAAAAATCTTCATCACGGATTTGAAAACTCTAAATCCGGAAAAAGAAATATTTAGCATCTCAAGGATTTGATGTTATCTGTTTGATTGATAGTTAATGAGAAAACAATCGCCCGCACATGATTCATATCCAATCATATGTCAACAGGCGTAGTCGAATAAATATTTTGTTTTTTCTTAGATAAAAACGATACCTTAGGAAGTAATGTTTGTCGTTGTTTTTTTGTATTTGAGTGGTTAACTATTTCAGAACAAGAACTATTTGTTTTGGTTAACTTTTGTTGTAATTTAGTTGGCTTTTTATTCGTATTAGATTTTATAGAATTTGTTTTCCATTGAATGTTTTCTTCAATATCTTCATCTTTATGAATTTCATTAGGAACAATTGTATCTTGTTCATCGTTTCCGTTAAATATATCTACGAAAAAAAGAAATATAGAACTTTTATTTTTTCTTTTATATTTCTTAAATATTTAAAAACAAAATATGATTATTATCATGTACATTACCATTGCTATCGAATGAGGATTCTTTTGAAAATTTGGTTGATAATATAATTGGTTGAGAAGAAATTGATGTTAAAGATTTTTTACGTGGAGATTTATTGTGTTCTTGATCTGATCGTTTATTATTATTATCATTATTATCAATATTTCCATTTATATTTCGGTTTGATACGTCATCAGATACATCATATGAGCCATGTTTTGATAATCGTTTTCGTATAGCTTTTAATTTTAAATGACCAATAACAGCATTTGATTTTCGATTTGAATGATGATGATGATGAAATTCATCATTTTGCATAGATTTCGCTTCAACCATTGTTTTTTCTCGATCGCAATCATGACGCGGCATTTATTATAATCTGTTTACACGTATATAGGTAAAAATAGAAGGAATGTAAATGAGTAGATTAGTTTATATTTTCTTTAGTTTTCACTTCAGTGACTGTATAGAATGAAAAACATATGAGAATATATATAGATAAAAATACAAATAGACGTATGTGTGCATTTGTCTGTTGTCGTGACAATCCACGTATAGTTTTGACTTGTTCCGAGAGTATATGATATTATGCTCTATACGAACGGCAAACCATCACAAATAATGAGTCAAGTACGCACTTAAGGAGCATAAGAGTTCGAACAAATTACGATGATCAGATGGGTGTGTAACGATGCCGTTTTTTCTTCAATTGTACTTTAGTGACATCTTTTAATAATTTCATAGAGAAATTTTTACAAATGTAATAGCATATATGTTATGAAAGGGGACGTTACTTGAGAACCAATTATCAAACCTATCATGGTTGAATTTTTATGCTTTTGTATTAATACTCTCAAAATTTTTTCGATGTAAATAGAAGAGTTTTTAGATAAAATTCATAGAATAAGTGAGTATAAAGACATTTGTATCAGAATATTATATAATATTCGCATGATTAAACATTATTTAAGCAATTTATTCAATTAGAAAATGTATAATAACATAGGAGATAGTTTTATTTTCAAAGTAGAATTCTAAAAACAAAAGTTTTCCTATGAACATATCGATTGTCTAATGATTAAAATATTACAGATGTGATTTCTTTTTGTAATTTATATATTTATTAATTAGAATTAAACAATCAATATTTAATCGAGCTTAAATAATTATTCATAATCATCTTAGTTGACTTGATCGTTGATCGAAATAAAATAAGTATAAAACTATTATTTAACATGATACAAAAATCTAAATATTATTTTAATTATATTTGATAATCTTTATGTTGTAAAATAAGTTATTTCGATTGTGAAAATTCTTTGAAAGTAATTATTGATATTTTTCATCTGTAGAAATTTTTAAATATCAATCTATAATAAATCATTTATGTAACCTTCGTACTGCACATTATAATTTATTTAAAGCGAGTTTAATTAGAAAGTATATTTTATTAATCTTTGATAGTGCAAAGTTTGTTTTTTTTTTGTGTAGGCATATTTAAGAAGGAAATTATTTTTTAATTGATATAGACTTACCGCTAGAGTAGTCGTTCATTGATTATATTTGTTATCTTATACTTCATCGATTTTATTGTTACAATCGATAATTTATGATTCAATATCAATAGTTCATATATATATATATATAGATAGATAAATATCAGTCAGAAGAACAAATGAGAATATTAGCGTCTACCTTTTTTTTTCTTTTTTTTTGCTTTATCTTACTCTCCTCATTAAGAATTGTCATTATAAATAATCCCTTCTATATTATTCGACAATTAGTGTACGAAACCATCAATGATATTTTGAGCTTAATCACATTTGTTCGATTAGTCATATAATATTCCATGAATGATGACTATCTCGTACATTTGTTAATAATTTGTCGTATTTCATAGCGAAGGAAAAAGTAAAAATCGATGATGACGAAAGAGAAAAAGGAAAGAGGAGAAAACGATAAGACAAATGAGGACGAATAAAAAAAAACGAAGCATTACTTCAGTAGCGCACGAAAAACGAATGTTACACTTAATGTGATACATGAAGGTTAATACGAAAATAAGGTTAATATTAAATAGGAGGTCCAAGAAAACCAGGAGAAATTTTTCCGCCCCCCGTCCAGTCTGTAAAAAAATTTATAGGTCTTCCTTGGTTTGGTAAAAGATTTGGCACAACTGGATTTGTTATACCCGCGGATATCGGAGGAGAAACTCCCATATTATTAATAATAGGTTGAGCTTGTAACTGTTGTTGTACATATGGTGTTGATGATGCCGGCATAGCCATAGAATAAGGAGGAGATAAATATGGTGGAGACATTGGTGGTATTATTTGCTGAGGCATCATCATAGGTGGAATTTCTGGAACTTGTTGTGGTAGTATTATAGGCTGAAATTGTGGTACCTGCTGGGGTGGTACTATAGGTTGAACTGGTCGTGGTGGTGGTATTATAGGTTGAACTTGTCGTGGTGGCGGTATTATAGGTTGAAATTGTCGTGGTGACGGTATTATCATAGATGGAATCGGCTGTACCGATGGCATCATCATAGGTTGATTTGGTGGCATGTAAGGATAGGCACTAAAATTATTGTAAGCGTAGCCACCATAATTATTGTAAGGTTTTGGAATAGTAATTGGAAATGCTGGCGAAGGTTTTAGATAGGGACGTTTCAGTTGAGGAAGACGACGTGAACCATGTGGGTATTGTTGTGGAGAATATTGAGCTTGTGTAACAGTTTGTTTTACCGGAACTGATCTTAGTCTATGAAATAAACCTCTTTTATATTTGTTTCCACCATAATTAATATGTTGTCGCGCTGAAGTTTGACGTTTTCGGTCATATCCATAAGGGTCTCTAGAACTGGCAATATTCATTGTGTTTTATGAATGATAACTACTTTTATTTCATTGAACGCATCAATTAGTAATTTGTTTCACGCATATTTAACAGGAAAGAAGAGCATAAAATTATGAGAAGTACCCAACGAATGAGAAGACATATAAAGAAATAATAGTCAGTCAGCCAGAACGAAGAAAAAAAGAAAAGTACACATTTTAGAGGGTAACACAAATCAAGTGTATATACTTGCATGATAATTTAATTCATGATAGTTCTTATATTCATATCTCCATGTGTTATCTATGCATTACATATGTACAAGACTAAAACTCAATGACATGAATGATTTCTATTCAGATAAAATATTCTATACAATATGCTTGGAAAAGCAAATGAAACATTACCACAAACAAGAGATTCATTTTATGATGATGATGATGATGTAAATTCCACAGTACCAGTAACACCAGGCATATCATCAATACGTATAGTAACGTCTAAACCACCTATCTATCGTCAACAAAGTCAAAGTAGTAGTTCACCTTCACCTTCATCATGTTATTCTGATCGTGATGTAACAGATGTATCATCACTTGGTGGTGAACATCATCATTTACAACAGCAACAACAACAACAAAAACATGAAGATCATCGAAGAAAATCAAATCATGATCAACATCATCCATTTCATCTTCAATCTATGAGACATGTTTTATTAGGTTCATCAATTCCAACTAGTCGTCCATCAACTCCTGTACATCCTCAACAAGAATTAAATAAAAAACAAGTTCGAATTGTTGCTGATGAAACAGATAAAAATCATCATCAACATCATCATCATCATCATCATCATCATCACCATCATCAACAGCCTTATATTCATGGTCATACAAAAGATTATCGTCGAGTTCGTTTAACATCATCAGCAATTAATCGCCAAAAACAGCAACAAAAAATTGAACGTGAAAATTTGGTAAGAAATACAAAAAAATTTCTTGTAGAAAAAAGTTCTTTTCTTTGCTTTCTTTGTTATTTTTTCTTTTTTTGAAAAACATCTCGTATATCTTTCATCTTTGATCAAACCATTAATATTGATGTTTATTCAAACGTTGTCTTTTATTACGTTTTATTCACTATTTACTTTCCATTAGAATAGAGAGTATTACTTAACATTCAGGTGTATTTTGCCTTAGGATATAAATTTCAAATAGAATAAAAAAGAAAAATGATACATAAAATAGTCTGCCACCTTTTCTTTTTCTTTCAATTGAAAAATAACTATTAAGTCATTGTGAAGAAAACTTTAATTACTTTTTAAAATAACACAATAGTATTTTAATTTGAAATATTATATTTTATTCTTCCTTCTTTTTCTTTTCATAAAGAAAATATTAGAACGTCTTCAACATACTCGTGCAACAAACTCTCTTAAACGTGATGAACTTCTATCTCATTATGATCGTCAAATGGCTTATGTTTCATATCCAACATCACCAATTCCACCAAAAATTCATATTAGTAGTCGGCCATCAAGTGCCACTATAATGTCGTCTACATTTTCTACATCAGGAAAAAAATCAAATAATCAAAGTCGACCTTCTTCTGCTTCACATGCAATGAATAGTAATAGTATACGTTCTCGTCCTGCATCAGCATCAACATCATTACATGGTAGTAGTCGTTCATCATCAGCACGACGACCAATATGGAATGATCGTTGGCAACAACATGAATGATTTCTTTTTTTTTTTTTTGTTTTTGTCCTTAACATGTTCAATACAAAAAACACAAAATCCACAATAAATCTCCTTGAACTTTTTGTTCGTGATAATGTAATTGTCGTTGTTGTTGTCTTTTTTTTTTTTTTAATTTCATTATATTTTACTCTGTTGTATAAACATATCAGTTAAAATCAAACTGACATTGAATAAATTCACTTTTGTTATGAATTTATTTTTAAGGCAAATCAAGAAATGTAATACACATTTAAATGTTTCCTTTTTTTTATTTCTTGAAATATATCTCATTGATAATATCTAGACGAATAATGATGAATAATTACCAATTCATAAAACACTCATCTACAAATGATGATAGTTAAGAAAAAAAAAAGACACAAACCTAATGGTTTTTCATATCTCATAAAATGATGTCGTATCTGGATGCTTATTTTAGCATATGGTTTCTTTATATTGACTATTATTTTTTTTACTATAAACTTACTACATTAGGTAAAAAAGTTTTCCTTTAAATAGACACATAAATTGGTAATAAAACTTATAGAACAAAAAAGCTATACATTTTTGATTTTGTACTAATGTCTGCCCCGAAATTGAAGAGACATAGGTGTAAACTCAATAACTCAACAATGATAACAACTATCGATCTATGGTTTTTCAGCAATCGTATGAGAAGAATTCCAAATGACTTTTTGTCTGATACTACATAAGACAAAATTATTTTTAAATTCATAATCTTTGCAAAATGCATGGAAATGGTGTTCTATTTCAAGGAAATTTTTTTTGATATGTATCTAAGATAGGGAGCCTTCAGATCTGTAGTTCAAGGTGTGATACAGATGATTATCTTCTCATATGTCAATGTTGAGTAAACGAAACCACGTATCTATGCAATCGAATTGTATAGTCTATTGATTTTTAGTATTTTTTATCAAAATTTACTTGAAATGAAATACTTTTTTTTTTTGAATATTTTGCAAAGATAGTGAGTTCTAAAAATAACTTTCCTATATACAATATCACCTAAAAAGACGTTCGGAGTTCTGTTCTTTCGATAGTTGTTACTGTTTTCAACTTATTGAGCTTATACACTATCCCTCCTCCTGTTTAATTCTGACGTGGACATTAAAAATATGTTACAACAATAATTTAACTATAAATGGAAGGAACCACTTAAAGAGATATTGTGTTTTTTTTCCTCGATGAAGATCGACCAAAAATTTCTAATGATAACAGAATGATAGAGTCTCGATATTTTGTGTCCGTAAATGGAAGATTTGTAATAGAAAAGCAGAAAATTTAAACTAATTAATACAAAATAGACAATTTCAATGTGTGAATATTTTTAGAGAAAAAAAAAAAGAAAAAGATAAATTAGTTAAATTAAATCAGAAATTATTTTAAAAATTTATTTTTCACAAAATTTCTATCTTACTAATATAACTACAAATAAATAGTTTAAATATTTAAATAAATTTAAAGCGTTGTAACACGTAATGGTTTTGGTTCAAGTTGTTCATCAAATAATTGTTCATAAAAATCTTCTTTTTTTTCAAATTCATAATTATTATTTTCTTCGTCGTCGTCAATATTTGATGAAGATGATGATGATTCAGGAATTGTTGATGAAAATTCTGTTAGTACACGTCGAAATGAATTAACATCGACTTCTAATGCATTAAGTATATCAGATAAATTACGACAAATACGTTGTAAGGAAAGTAATAAAATAAAAATAGTATCCGATGTTAATAACGGAATATTCATAATCTTAAGTAAAGAATTCGTCTAGTCACATTAACAGTGATTATTAAAAAAAGGAAAAAAGAAAAAAAAAACATAAGTTTTATCATCTACGTAAATGACATATATTATTAATATCATATTCAATGAATATATATTTTTATCATTCTTGACATTAATATGATAATAGAACGCAAAAAAAAATTATCGAGGGAATAACATTGTTCATTATAAATGAATAATACGTTTGTAAGAAGGACAGATGTTTCGATTCTTGTTTTCTTCTTTTTTAGTTCGAAAGTGACTATGCATTCAAGCAGAAATTATGGAGGCTATGACCATCAGGCAACATTATTTGGTCTCAATGGTGAAAAAATTTTTTTTCTTAGTATTATAAGGAAATAATGCAGAAAAGATCAGAAAATAACTAATAATCTATTCAAGGAGAAATAACATAAGATATGAGTATAAATAAATACGAATGTTTAGTGAACTTTTCTAAATGAGTATGAAACCTTACACGAGAGCAAGAAAAGTTCCTATAATCCTCCATTTTTTCCCATATTTTCGAGCTTGTATCTCCTGAGATTTTCTCTACTCAACAATGAATATAGTTTTTGTCGTTTCGTAACATTTTAATAAATTTAAAATGTGAATGTCAACACTCAAGTGAGATCCTCTCATTCTATGGGTAAATCTTCATTTTTTACATGTCACTCTCATACTCGCATGGTGCTGTATGTCATTGAATCACATGTCTGCTAATCGAAGACTGTGGAAAATAAAATAGGTACCACGGTTCTGGTAAATACGCGACTAATTGTTGTGGTGCCCAATTGTTATTGTAATGAGAAAGAAAGAGAAGGTCACCATCCATGCAAAAAAACAATCAATAACGAATGTTTATTAAAAATTATTTTTGCTCTGAATCAAAATGAAAAATAGTTGATTTTCTTTTCACTAATTCAGAAATTTTTTCATCGAATCAATACTTTGTCATTATGTCAGTACATATATTTTCTTTTCTACAAGTACCTATTTTTTTTTTATTTGTTAAATACTTTATTTTATTATACCATTAGTGAATTCTTACTTATTTAAATAATTTTGCATTGGTTTGCAAAAACGTGTTTTTAATTAATTTTTAGTATATCAGCAAATAAGTAATACAAAATTCGTTTAAGTTGTCATTATTATATCTCAATCTCGATCAACTGCTTCTAAAGAATCGAGAGATGAATTTTAAATAACTCGAATGGTCTCGACAAGCGAAAATAAGTAAAATCCCAAACTGAAAAGTACCGTGATAGTGTAAGTAATTTATAAGTATGAATGTTTCTTTATTAAGTTTTACAAATGGAACAAAAGTAATATTTAATAGCGATTATTTTGAACGTTAACATTTACACGGATATAACAATGTCAATGATTCACTCATTGAACAAGAAATAGTCTTATATGAGTTGTATATTGCTATGAAAACAACATAGAACGCTCTATTTTTCGCCGTTCAGTCAAGAAAGAATGAAAGACAATTAATTAATGCTCTTTCCGAATGAGTTCAACCCTCATGCATAGAGATATGCAATTTCGATGAAATATTGACGGTGATTTACCGACAGGAATTAGAATCGGCCGTCTCTAGTTCAATGTGAGTTATCAGTGAACAGTTTACTGCAACTACATATTCCTACTCGCGCGCTACTACAATGATATTTTGCATGTTAAATGTGTTGTACTTTAGATGTGCTACAGTCTATTGGTTAAGTATTCACTCATTATTTCGAGTGTGGGTGTGAGTCTTCTCTGGAACTGTACCCACACTCAATATTACGATGATAATCGTGTGTATTTACAACTTTTTTTGTGATTATATAGATATCAGCAGTTTTGATATATTTGAAAGAAAAGAGGAAATAAGATTTGATATTTGATAAATGAAATATGATGCGAAGAGAAGCAGATTAAGATAAAGACAAACGAAGTAATAACAAAGTGAAAAGATACTTGACAAATTTTATATGAATAAAAGAAAAAAGCATTCGAGATGATCGTTTTTATTCTTATGAAATAATGAGTGGCACACTCGTATTCTTTGTTTTTTTAGGGTTTTGCAAAAATTTATTCTTAGGCAATAAATATAGAACATTTTCTGTTCTAAAAGAATATAAGTCTGTTAACCAAAAGCCAGTACATTTTCATATGCAAAAGAACAACGAAAAAATAAAATGCAGTATAAAATCAGTACTGTTCTTTCATAGTCAAATTGATTCTATTTTTAAAGATCCATATTGAATGGTATATCAAGAGCAACAACACTTAATTTATGCATAAACATTTTCGACAAGATAAGTTTTATCGTTTAAAATGAATTTTTCGATTAAAAAATTGAACTTTGTACAAATAATTTGATTGAATTAGTTAAATAACATGTTTGATAAGGTCAATAAAATGAAATTGACTAACTAAAAAATATTTGATTTCAAGAAGAGTCATACATCATATATCTGACTATTTTAGAATAGTCAGATATATGATAACTTGATGATCGAAAAAAGCCCCGAATGCGTTTATTGTTGTCCTATTCACCTAATATGACTTGTTTGATCATGACTCCTATTTTCATTTTTCTGTCCTGCATTGAAATTTTCGTTTTTTTTTTTCTTTTTCCGAAGAATTAGTTCCGTCTTAGAAGGATTAAAGAATATCATCAATACTATCCACATTCCATCGAATCTATCTCTTATCTAAAATAATAAGAGGTTTCAATAGTACATCCCTATTAATCTTGATTTAAACAAAAAAATGCGATCTGAGAAAAGGTCGCTCTTTTAAAAATATCGTAACATTAAAATGCGAGATTAATATTGAAAATAAATTACAATCACTAAGACATTTCATTCTTTTCGTAATCCTTGTGTAATATTGTTATATACCACTTTTCAATTATATTTTTCATTTCAGGTTTTTTTTTTGCTTCTCATGATGACTTTCTTTCGTAGTCCATTATCAATATTCGTTTTTTCATTTCTTTGTATGACTATTGTCATTTTTGGTCAAGGTAAAAACAAAAAAAAAAAACTGTTGAAATATTTTTTATTTTCGAATACGATTTTTCTTTTATCGAAGGAACTGCGAATATGTGCGATTGGATTCAGTGTGCAAATGGAGGTATATGCCAACCAGCTGAAGGTTCTACTCTAGGTTATAAATGTCGATGTCAATTTGGTTTTACTGGTACATTATGTGAAAATCGATTAAATATAACAAGTAAGAGAAATTTTTCTTTTTTCTTACATGTTTTTAAATTTATTATATTATTTTAGCATGTGTAAGAAATCCATGTCTACATAATGGAAATTGTACAGTAACAAATGATTATCAAGTTAAATGTACATGTCCAAAAGGATATACAGGCACTCGTTGTGAAATTTCAATATAAAATTAGACTCTTTGACATTTATTAAGATGATATAAATGGAAGATTTCATACAAGAAAATAAAAATAAAAAATCCATCGATATTACAAGCAGAAGAAAAACAGCAATAGAGACATTTGTTCTTTTAGTTAGTGATTGTTATTTAATAATATCTCTTAAGATTTATATGTGTATGAATTATGATCAAAAGATCTTAATTGTTATTATTTATTAGAGTATAAATGAACAATGATTGAGATCGATAGATATCTTAAAAAAGTATTTCACTAATACAATAGCGAGATACGTCGGAAAGAGCATACATTAAAACTTAACAGTCATTAGACAAAAAGAGAAAATTGTGTTTTGAACTCGGTTCAACTAATAAAAAGAAAAAGCTGTTAACGCAATCTCTGTGGGATTGAAATGTGAAATACGATGCAGCTGCTGTTTGCTAATCACAGGAAGATTGTTTTATTGGGATACATTTCTTCATCATCCTTTTACTTAATCCTTCAAAAATACAATAACGAAGTAGTCAATATATTGTAACAAGCCGTTATTGATAAACGGTCTAATGATGCCTGACAAGTCGTTTGTCATGGTCTGCCGGAGTGCAAAGTTCTACTCAATATATTTCAACACTTCTTTTAGATCGTGTTTTACAATAATGATTATAATAATATTAAAAATAAGTTTTATTCTCAATATACATCATGTTTTATGTGCACTACATGTATCATCTAGTTTATTTAAAGCATTCAAAAAAAAAGCTTGTTAGCGCAGCTCCTTCAGAGCCGAAATGTAGAACTCACGTATATCCTTCAATCTTGCTATCCTAATAAATCATCCGTAAACTGAAAAATTTCTCGTCAGTTGTAGTTGTTTTCACTAATAATCGATGACAAGAGCGAGAATTTATTATTTCTATATTTATTTCTGAATTTAAAACAGAACTTTTTAATTTTTTCTACGGGCGCCCTATTTTTTTGTTTGCATTGTTGCTATTCGCTCATTATTTTTCACTTTTTCTTGATTCGTATTTTTTTAATTTAATATTCTTATTATTATAATCATTGAATACGCAAATAAGTTTATTTTACATATCCATGATATGTATAGCAGATTTTACGTACTATTATATATATTAATCAACTCACAAACAATGATGTTCACTAATCGTGAAAATTATAACTTTACCAATTTTTCAAAAAAAAACTCTAGAAAATCTGACACCTGTTATTCTCCATTGATAAAGTCTGATGGTGGATTGTCTGTAATGGAGAGCCTCGTTGCTATGGTCTGTGATGGGAGCCTGTCTGTAAGGGGAGGGGGGAGAGGTGAGGAGCCGCCAAATCTCGAACTTGAAACTTACACTCACTATTTTCTTCGAAAATATACGTGAGTTCCACAAAAGAATAACTGACTCATAGGATAGAAAAAAGTCTACATATATGTATATAAAAGAAATGATATCATTAAGATAAAGCTGTTGTCGCTTTTTTTTTTATCAATTGTTCATGTCGTTTTCCTCAATCTTGGAATTTTGATCAGTCAGATAATAGCATAATAAATCATAAGGCAGATAAAATGTTTATAGACATAGATCTCCAAAATTTGTTTTTAGACGTGCATGTGAAAAGTATTGTAATCAGTCGAGGAGCATGTAACCAAGTTGTAAATTAATCAAATGATGTCCATAGTAATAATTGATATTCTTTGTTTCGTCAGTAGAATAATATATAAAGATTCAAACCAATAAAATATTGAGTTCTTTTCGAAATTAATTTCCATTATTGTTAATTGATAATTTTTTTTTTGCTAGTTGGATCGTGTTAAAAATGGTAGTGTTACTGTTTTCAGAAAATACATTATACTCAACATTCTCAACATTGCTATCTCAAAAAGGAAATATCAGATGAATTTGAATTTGATTAAATGAAAAATAATTTTTTTTTTTTTATTGATCAAACACATATTATATATTGAAAACTCGTCATAATTATTCTCCTATGCGAAAGATAATGATTTTAAATTTCAAAAAAAAAAAAAAAACAAAACAAAACACAACAAAATCTATTTCACAAAATTTTGAATTCAAAAGTTTCTTTTCTTTTTTTTTTTATTCCTGAGGAAAATAAGGACACTCTTTTCTTAAATGTCCTGATTGTCGACATCCATAACATTTACGTCGTTTACGATTTCTTTTACTATTACAGATACGAAGAGGAGAATATGAATATGGTTTAAAAAAAGATGGATGCATAGGTGATGTATAATTTTGAATAAAACCTGAATAAGGTTCATATGGATGATAATATCTTGAATAATTATTATATCGTATTGGATTAGAATTTGTTTGAGATAAAATTTCTTCGAATATATTCGAAATATTTTCATAATCATTATGATTATCAATTGTTGATATTAAATTAGTTGATATTGGTGTATTACAATTCGTTGATGATGAAGATGAATAAAATGGATCTGTATATTGATCAATTGACATATTAGTCTGACTAGTAATTCGTACAACTTCATTTTCTACATTTGTTTGAATAATATTATTATGATTTTCAATAGGAGATGTTGGTGAAATTATTATTTCATTAGTAGAAGAATTATTTGTATTATTATTATTATTATTATCATCATCTAAAATAAGATATTTGTTTATTTTTTATTCTTTAAATTCAATCGATCTTTTTTATTTACCTATTGATAAATCAATACATGTTGATGATGTTGATGTTAAATATTCTTTTTGAAATTGATTAAGAATATCATTTGTAAAAAATCGTCGATTAATATTAACAAATATTGATGATGATGATATTGTACATGAACAAAGTCGTGGACTACGTCGTTGAAATTGTAAAAATGATGGCAAAGCATATTTAACTGTTTCACTTAAATTAAATCCTGTATCAAAATAAAAATGATATGTACCAGGAAAAATAACAATTAATTCATTAAGTTTTTGTTCAATTTGATAATATTCTATTGAATGTATATGAAGAAATGATGGTTTAATAAGGAGTGTTTTATGTTGAAGTGGTGATAAACAACATGATGATGATATATCAGAAAATAATTTTAATTTATTAACTAATTCTTCAAATTTTGTATAACATGATGGATGTATTATATACCAAATTTTTGGAGAACCATGATGAAGATAATTTAAAGATATTAGATCATATTCATCAATATGAGTACCAACAGCACTTGACCACATACCCATATGAAGTACAGATGTTGTTACACCTATAACGTAGAATAATACAAAGCTTATTAATGCAACCTTTTTTGGGCACTGAAATATGAAACTCATATGTGTTCTTTAGCCTTATTATAATAATACAAAATACGTAAAGTGAAAAAATTTCTCGTAGACTATAGTTGTTCTCCAAGATAGTCGATCGCCTGAAAAGCGATCCGTCTTATTTGTTTCTACATTTTTTTTTTCATAGCAATTGCTTGAACAATCGATTGAGAGTTTTGCGTAGAATACCTATAACTCCTGAACGATTAACTGTCAAAATCTGAGGCTTGTATAGTTTTGTAAATCTTCGATTGGCGATTCGAATGTACATCTGATAATTGAAAATTCTTTATAATCACCTCATAGAGTAGTACGTTAGTTTTCAAAAAAGGTCGATTGAAAACCTTCAAAAATCATTACGGCAAAAGTCTGTAATATATAATTCGATGTATCTTCCTCTTTTCTTGCTAAAAGTGAAAATTGCATCTACCTATCTATCTTGTTTCTATTAAAATTTATTCAAAATGATTCACGGTTTAAGTTCAGTTTATGACAATTTCTTTAATTAATTTCTAATTGTATGTACTTTTATTTTCAATAGAAAAAAAGTCTCAAAAAACTATAGATAACTACCGTTAGAATCCTTATTTTTGTTTAAAATACATGGAATCTTTTTTTTTTCCAAAGATTAAACTATACCTGGAATTCTTTTTGGATAATATTTGAGTAATGACGCTAAATTAGCCATATTAAAACTAGTTTCTCTTTTTGTAAATAAACTATCATCAATATTTGGTACATACAAAGATACACTATTCGAAATTGTAGACCAAAAATAATCCATAATATTAGAATTTACTGTATCTTCCAAACGATATGTATCACTTTCAGCGATTGTTTTAAATTCTTCGTAAGTCATAAAACGTCGTTTAGGTGTTTCTGAATTTTGTATATAAAAAACATCCGGTTGATGAGATGAACGAATTATTTCTTGTTTTATATACATTTTTATATGACGTAATTCATAGGGATTTTTTATTAATGGTACCCATCGACTAGGAGGAAGAATTTTAACAGCACCAAAACGTCGTTGAAGACTAGTTTCATGATGAGTTAAATAGATTGGTAATGATTTCCATTGTTCAAATGTTGGCGTTAATGTTGGTATAAATTTTGTACTATTCTCCATAACTATGTTCAATATGTTATTGACCAGACACTCCGACGGTTATTTTATCATTGTTGGCGAAAAACATGATTATTCAAGTGTGACTGGGTCTTCGTGTTCTTTTTTTTCTTTTCTTTTTCTTTTTCTCTCTCATCATTTGCATTGAATTGACGTCATCCACATAGTGTGCGGGGATATAGCTCAGTGGTAGAGCATTCGACTGCAGATCGAGAGGTC